TTTCTCTACTTCATAAACACCATCAGACAAACAATCCTCTTCGTTTGATATTTTATTTTGAACAAAACTCATTTTAAGAGTAAATTCTTTGGTTTTATTTTTAAAAAAAATTTATTAAATTCTAATTATAAAATAACAAACTATAAAGATTACTGTTATGTAAAATAGATAAGTACTAACATAAACAGACTCAGTTGTTTCTGTTATATTTTTAGTACTTTCCTTTATATTCTCTTTATAATTTTCAGATATCTTATCTAATATGTTTCTATCTCTTTTAAGGCTTTGATTAAACTCTTCTGTTATTTTTCTAAGTGATTTTGAATCCTTAAGAATATTTTCATCAACTAATGTCTCCATTTCGTCATTCTTTTTTGTTTGTGTGATATTTATTTCAGTTGTACATACTTTATTTTCTAATAATGAAGTAAGGATATTATCAGCTTGTTCTTTAAGCTTCATATCATCTATATTCTTTATAATATATTTTAAAGCTTTAATATTACCTTTTAATCTTATCTCTTGATCTTTATTTCTCTCCGTTTCATTTAATAACACACTTGTTTTATTAACTAAATTACTAAATTCTTCAAAATTAAACTTGGTCATCTTTATTAAATTTTCTTTAAAAATTATTTGATTAAAAATTATTAAAAAAATTATTATCTTTAATTTAATGATTAGATATTTCTGTAAATTACAAAATTTCTAATTGTTAAAAATTTTTTAATTATTAAATGAATATAGTAAACAATGATTATATGTTTTTTACTAGAAATTGTTATCTTCATGTATTCTACGTTTTAAACTAAAATCTAAAAATATACTTCTATTTAAATGAAAAATAATTAAAACAAGTGATTGTATAATTATAACCTTAATGATACATAGATTACGTCTTTTAATAAAAAACTCATTATAAATGATATTCACTGTGTTGAGATTAATTTATGTTTTTCTACTGAGAATAATGAAATTTTTTAAAGATATAAAGAGTAATAACATCTTTATTGAGTGTGTTGATAATAATACTAATGTTTTCATTAACAAATTATATTTTGTTAACAATAGATTATAATTAGTATTAAAGATAACTGTTGCCTGACTTGAATATTTTAGGATTTAAACAATTTAATTTAATATTTGACTCTTAAATATGATTTATAGAAATCTTTAATTAAACTTAAAGTTATTAAAATGAACATCAACCAAGAATTACTTTTAATATTTGAATAATTTTGAAATTGAAAAAACAAGGAATTTATGTTAAATACTATTTTTATTATTGATATGATAATAGTAATTGGATTAAAAAATTAAAACTTTAAAACAAAAAATTAAGAAAATGTATTAATTAATAGTGAATTTTATTTTTATCAATAATTTAATTAAGAGAATAACAACTAATGTTGCTGTAAAAAATAGAAATCTCAAAACTTTATTTTTAACGCAATCTAATCAAAAATTGATTATTTTGTTATAAGAAAAGATTGTTATTGATAAGTATAAAAATATCAAAACTAAAAAAATATCTTGTATTATGTTCAGTTTTAAAGAAAAAGAAAGTGATTAACATGTTATTAATTAATGAGCTAATTAAAAAAAACGATATTTGATCTGATTTAAGTAATCTTTTTACTTCAAAACTGCCAATTAAAATTCAATTCGAGTGTTAACTATAACTTATACTTTATCACCTTGTAATTATTTTTCACATTTATGATTCACTAAGTAACTATAAGAAAATAACTATTCTCAAACTAGTTTCATCAATACTTTTTTATAAAATGATAAACTGAAAATTTATTAAAATTTAATTATTAATAAGACGTTCTAAATATTGAAATCAATCACATAAGATTTAATGTTGGAAAATAAAATATTAAGTGATGATATTAAACAATTTCAAACTGTTTTTAAATCAAATAATTCTCTTTTTAAGTTTGTTAAATAAAATATTTACATATTACAAACCTTAAATTATTAACAGCTTTTACAAAATATAGAGAAAAATATGTAAAGTTTTTTTATAACAAATTATTATACTCTTGAAAAGTATAATGCACTATTTAATTATTATTTTTGAACAATATTTATACTTTTATTATCTCAACTAAAGAAGCTGCTTCTAATAAAAATTTTATTTTAAAAAAAGTATATTTAGTAGTTAGAATACTAAATGTTATTATGAAGTGTAAATTAAATCTTTAAATAATAATTTAAATTTTTATAAGATACAGGTTAATTTAATAAAGACATAACATCCATAGTTGTAAATATTATTTACTGTTTAAGAATTTGAATCAAATATGATTATTTTTTTACAATAAGAATTTAAAGTTAAAGGTTTTAATAAATCTTTAAAATTTAATATGACTTATACTTATTTCAACAAATCTTCTATTAATGAGTTTT